CACACACACACACACACACACACACACACACACACACACACACACACACACACACACACACACACACACACACACACAGGGTTGAGCGAACAATAAGGCTCAGCTCTGAGGATGCACATGTACACAGCAGTGTAGAATTTCACGTGTGATTTGAGCTGAGAGGAAACACGATCTGCACCACAAATTGTAGTCCGTTTGTGTCCTTTGAAACGCTGCTGTCACAAAGCATAAACACACACTGTGCTGCTAGAAGAGAGCATGGGCGCCACCTCTTGGTTGGAATGCAGAGCCACGGCACAGCTGGACAGGGAAAATGGACCAGCTGTGAGTTAGTGTGTGTGTGTGTGGATGTCTGGTCCGGTGTTTGTTTTGGTACACAACAGTCGGTATCATGTGGCCACTCATCTCACCGGTGGCCTTTGGGCTGAGGTGGAAAAGAAAAAGACAGGTTTCTGCCTTGGTTATAGCACAGATGTGATGTTTTCTAACCAGCTGCCTGGTGTCACAGACCACATGTTTATTTGGCCAGCTTTGGGCATGTGACATGTGGGTGGTTAGCATTTAAAGGTTTGAAGAAGAGGAGGAGCCAGCAAGCATCAGATGGGGGGGAGGGGGGAGGCTTTTGGACACCGTATTAGTTCTGGAAATATTAAGGCACCTAATGATTGAGTGATGAATGAATGAATCGTGCATGAGTATAATCTGGTTACCAACACATCTGTGCCATTACCAGGTTTGTGATATTTATCATCTCTAAAACTGCAGAGACAGGAATACAAATTTGCAAAAACAAAACAGTAAAAAGAATTTAAATGGGTTAAGAAATCTTTCACACAGTGAGTAATTAGTTTTAATCATACAGATAAAAAAATACTCTAATAAACACGTTAAACTAGAGGAATCACAATTTCTGAAAAACAGTATGAACGATGGGTGCCTAATGAATTTGCTGAAATATGCTGAAAAAAGCTGAAAAGGGTATTGAAGCTAAAAGACATAGAACATGAGCTGAAAACTAAAGGAGAAAAAGGCTAAAAGTAGCAGAATGGCAGGTAAAAGCTAAAAGTAGCAAAAGATTAGCTAAAAGATAAAAGTAGCAGAAAACCATCTAAAAGAATTAAAAGACAAGCTAAAAGCAAACATAGCGGAATGGTAGCTTGAAATAGCCATGACTAGCTTAAAGGTAAAAACAGAAAATGTCTTGCTAAAACCCAACAAGCAGGGGAATGATAGCTAAAAACTAAAAGTGACAAAAGGCTAGATAAAACTTGAAAGTAGCAGAACTATAACTAAAAGGTAAAATTAGAGAGAACCTATCTAAAATGTAAAAGTAGCAAACTGCTACCAAAGTATAAAAGTAGCCAAACATTAGCTAAAAGATAAAGTAAAAAAAAAATACCTAAAAACTAAAATGACCAAAAGCCTAACAAAAAACTAAAGCTAGCTAAAAGCTAAATGTAAAAATCTCCCCATCTCCTGAATGAGCAGAAGGCTTTTGTATATGAATGGGTAAATAGCACAAAGCACGCAGATGTAGTAAAATTTACAGAAATAAAAAAAACATTAGTGAATATGAAATCAGCATTCACACATTTACAGTGAATTTACAGATGTTTTGATGTGAAGAAATGGCTCAAAAATTGATAAAGAGCCTGACAATCTGCTTCTAGAAAGGTCTGGATTATTAGAATGAATAATGTGTAGAGAACTCTACAAACTGAACATCTGCCTTTGTTTCTTGGAAATGACTGCTCTTATTAAAGTGTCTGTGTGTGTCTCAGCCTGGCCCAGGTACCGTGTGCTGCGGGTCCAGGAGCTGGGTCAGTACAACCTGGAGATCCTGTCGGCAGAGCTGTCTGATGAYGCGCTGTACGAGTGCCAGGCCCCTGACGCTGCGCTGAGGTCCAGGAGAGCCAAACTCACCGTCCTCAGTACGTCTGTGTTCTTGTGTGTGCATCGGTACACAATATGAGAGACGGTGYCTTTTTAACCGTGCCTTCGCTCCCCCCTCCAGTCCCTCCAGATGACCCAGTGATCGATGGGGGTCCAGAGGTGCTGCTGAATGCGGGTGAGTTCTACAACCTGAGCTGCGTGTCACGAGGGGCCAAACCGCCTTCAACAATCGAGTGGCTTAAAGACGGTCTGCCTGCAGAGGGGGCCGTCAGTATCACTGTGAGTTCTACACACACACACACACACACACACAAGTTAAACACACTCATTAACTGCTGAACAACACTTTGGGTGTTTTTTACATCCCCAATCTGTTCCTATTTGTGTTCTGATCACCAGGAGGTGCTTCCAGACAGGAAGAGGGTGACCACGCGCAGCTACCTTCCTATCCACCCCATCGACACGGACACTGGAAGGAACTACAGCTGTGTGGCCACCAACACGGCTGTTCCCTCCGGAAAAAGCACAACCGTCACCCTTAACGTGCACCGTAAGGCATTTACTAATGACAGTTTTCTAAAGCTAAAGCCAAACTAAACTCCTGGGGCTCGTTGCACAAAAGTGGGACTTTGGTGTAATCCTGGATGAATTAATCCTTGATTCGGTTGCACAAAAGAGGTGGACTTTGGTCCAAACCGGAAATAGTGTCAGAGCCTGGCATGCTAACCCTGCAGTGCCAGGACTCAGTAATGACAGGGCTCTAGAGTGCGACCAATTTGGTCGCAAATGCAACCTGATTTCCTAATAGTGCGACTAAAAAAAATGTCCGGTCGCACTGGTGCGACCAATCGTTCGAGGGGGAGCGGTCGCCCGCTGAAAAAAGTTTCCATGTTCCATAAAAATAATCCAGCAGTATCAATGGTCGCCCGCCAACAGTCTCATCTCTCCTAATAACACTGCACTCTGCTCGCAGCTCCGCTCCACATCTCCCGCGCTCACACACCTTTGTTGTTCTATCCTCATGGGGACTTTGCATTGGCTTCCATTCATTTCACAGTCAATTCTGTAGCCAACCATAACCTCCCAGGTAGCCTACACACCTGACCCAAACCCTAACCCCACCAGGCTGTGTGTACCGGGGAAATGGTCAATAATTGTTCCCACCATGAAGCAAAAATCTGTACACACACACACACACACACACACACATGCATGTGTGCGCGCGCATGCATAGCGAGTTTTTTTTAACCCAGATCGGAGTCTGAAAAACAATTCTTTCTTGTTAGCTGGAGATGAGAACAAGATGTGGACGGTTGCTCACTCGTCCATCTTGTTAATTTAACAGTCGGGGTCTGAGCGCTGCAGATCATTTCAGCAGGACAAGGAAGTTCACCTGTATGGCAGGCCACTTTTGCACTTAATCGACTTCACCACACTTACATTCCAAGTATCTGAAATAGGATCTTCTGGGTCTCAGGAGGATAAAACTAGACATATTAGATATTTAAGTGAAATAATATAAGATAATAAGATTCACCTAATGTAAATGAAATTGCTGACTTTTATGTGCTATTATTAAAAAAATCTGCACAACCTTTTAATAAATATCAGTAATATTTCTGTTATTAATCATTATTCTCTGTTCATCATTCTGGTTTATCCAAGGCCAAAGATCCATAGAGTTGTACAGGAGTTGTCCATCTGAGGGACAGGTGTCTAAAGAAATTAAACCATGAAATGTTTAAGATGTTTATAAGACTTTCAGCCCTTAAACATTTGCACTTAGAATTTTATAGAATCACTTTAAATACTTTTCAGTAAGTTAAATGTCTACAATTCTGGTTCAAATAAAGAACTTCATGTTTACTAGATTGTTAACTAATTATTTTGAGTTAATGTTGCCTTAATGAACAGTGATTAAAAAACTAACCTGTAAAACTCTGATGTTAAATGCGACGTGTTTGAAAATTCGGGTGCACCTAACTTTTGTACTGGTGCACCTAACTTTTGTGCTGGTGCGCCTAAGAAAAAATGTTAGGCGCACCGGTGCAACCAGTGCAAAAAGTTAGTCTGGAGCCCTGAATGATAATAACCTGGTTTCAAAAGTGAGCGACCGCCCCACTTGCAGGATTAAACATCAACAAACAGATTTGTTATGGAGGGAATATCGTAGATGACACTGAACAGCAACCTTGTATTTGGTTTAAAACATATTGAAACCTCAAAGAGGCTTTCTAAAGTATTCAGTTTGTTTTATGACTGATACGAGGCAAACATTTATACCTCGGGCTGCACTTCAGCCAGGCTGAGTTCTGCTTCATGCCTCTTTTCATCCAACTCTGCCAGCTTCATTTCTGAACGTGTACCATGTGAGCGGGAACTGRTCATTGAAACAAGGAGCGTGACCAGAGCAGTGCAGGTAGTTTCACCACTGAACTGAGGCGGACGTTTGTTCTCCCCACTCTTCACTGGTGGTTAAAGCAGGTTTTGTGGGGCCCAGCCGTTGGCTCAAGGTGCTGACTCAGCAACGCCCGAAGCCGGTGCTGCAGAGGCAATGGAGGATAGAGTGGTTCCAGTTTCTATGGCTGTGTCCAAATTCAGAGGCCGAATTTATTGGCCGCTTATGCCATAGCGTCGCACTGGAGGACGTCCAAATTTGAAGACTCCTCGATGCGGCCCACAAATGTGTCCATCTTTTTCCCAGATTTGAGGGACAAGTCTGATGGATCCTTCTCGGCCCACCATATCCCAGGATGCATTGCAGGCCGACCGAAGGTTTTTTTTATGCTAGTAATGGCGGACTAAATGAGAGATTCTAGTCAGAAATCAATTGAGCTGATATAGTGAAATAAATATGCATGTATGGCAGGTCCCTTAGTTCTTCTAATATTGCCTTTAATCTAATTTTGTTGTTTTTATGATATATATAATACTAATATATTGATATTTTGCTAATTTCTATCTGTTTTTGCCTCTGTTTAGCTTCGTCACGGTTATACGCCTGGGTAAAGGCGGGAATAAAGCAGAAGGCTAGACCATCTAAATTCACAGCCACCTTTTTCTGGTCTTTGCGGTTGACCAAGGACCCAAACCCTGGTAGGCCGGGTCCTTCGAAGGACCCAGCCCCTGATTTTGGACAAAGCCTAAGTGTTAAAGTGATGTGAGCATCATTGCTAACATGGGCTAATATTCAGAACAGTTACGACCTTTAATCAAACTGTTCGCTATTCCAACTCCCGACTCGCTACAGAGGCGTGTCTCTGAGTGAGAGGATTTTATATCCAGACATGGGGGCTGTGATAAAGGCATGTACCATTATAGCCTGGTTAAAACCAGACCCTGCCCTTCACTTTGCTTCGTACAAGGGTCTGGACTTGCTGCATAGAGAATCGATTCTTGCAGGAGGCGTGGCCTCTGCTGAAGCATATATGTGTTGTCGGTTGGAAGGAGGCTAAGCTAAGAAGCTAACTGGAAATCGCGTGTGCTGTAAACAACCCTACTGAGAGGAGAAAAGTACCGAGCTGAACGAGACGACTGTAAATGAGAGCTGCTGCTTTGTCAGACAAATTTAATTTAATTTGAAGCCTTATCAACACAGACTGGCTTCATTCACTTCCTCCACTGCCGTATGCTAAACTAACTAGCAGACACTGCGCAGAACATCGACGTCGTTCAAAACTCCTCCTTCTGTTTGCTGATTGGCCCAGGTAAAATAAACTACAAGCAGACACTGCACAGAAAATTGACGTTCTGTTCTCTGATTGGTTTGGCTAAAAATCTGCCAGTGAAATCCATCTCTATGGAAGAAATCCCAGACGGAGCAGAGAAGTGAAACTAGAATTGAGAGGAGCTGCGTAGGAAGGCAAGGACCAGGCTAGTACCATTATAACCAATAGGAAAATTCAACTGCAGTGCCACTGTGGAGCCCATAGAGGGCAGCACTACGATGGGTTTAGGCCAAAAATTGCAGAATTAAAAAATTTATATGAAAATATCACAATTTGCACAGAAATATAAAAATATTACCCTTACGGTGCAATTTAGACAGTTTATTTGCCAAAAAAAATTGACTTAGGGTTTAGTTCCTCTTACATCTTTCTTCTGTCTGTTTGTAATTTATTTAAGATCTTTTTTGCAGTCAAACTTTTTCTGCTTATTTTATGTTATTTTACCTATTCATATGTCAAAAGGTATATTAGATATAGACTTTCAGTGTTTGTGACTTTTATTATTTCCAAATTTTTGTCTTTATTCAAAATAAAATTGCCTTTAGAAATTAGATTAGATTAGATTACATAGACCTTTATTGTCATTGTACAGAGCACAATGAAATTACAGTTCAGAACACTGAAAACGCTGAGATCACTTCAGTTTTATTCAAAAACATTCTCTTATAAACTGGCTTCAGCTTCAACGCTATATTTTTTGTCTTGCTTGTTATGCCATTTGAAGTTTTATCTACGATCTAAAAAAAAAGAAAAAAAAGAAGTTTTATCTACAATTTTGTTCATTTTAGGTTTGAGCAACAGTTTCGCTAATTTTAGCTTTTAGACACCTTTGCTATTTTTACCATTTAGGACATGGAGGTGGTTGGTGTGAGGACAGAGGATGCAGGGAAAAAGTCATATAAAAGACGTTGACTCGCTGTGGTGACCCCTGAAGAGGGAACAGCCAAAAGAAGGAGAAGCTAATGCTCAGTTCATTTGATCTTTTAGCAGCAGTTTTGCTCATTTTAGCTTTTAATTCATGCTCATGCTTGTGATCTGCCCGTTTTAGGTTGTGCTCTGATTGTTTGAGCCTCTATTTAATAATAATGCATCACATAATTGTACTCACTGAATAAATGTATTTATATTTTTATATATGTGTATCATGTATAGCAGTAAGGTTCCATGTGAGTTTGTCTCTTTCCAGATCCACCAACAGTGACCTTGTCCATTGAGCCTCGCTCTGTCCTAGAAGGGGACAGAGTCACCTTCACCTGCCAGGCTCATGCCAACCCTCCCATTATGGGCTACAGGTTTGTTTTATTCTCATTCCTTTAGGGCAGGGGTCTGCAACCTTTACAATCAAAAGAGCCATTTCTGCTCTTTGTCTCACTAATAAAATGTGTCCAAGCCACAAAACAAACTACAACTGTGATTATCAACTGGTGGTCCGCGGGCCTTTTCAGAAACCTTCACGGTCAGTGGAGCTGACATAAAACTAAAAAATATTGCTATTAATATTATATTATTTATTATTATACACATCAGGACAAATAAAAAGATCATATTCATGTAAATAAGAAAAATACTGTATATTGTTTATACCAAATTTCATAAAAACTAGTACTACTGAATTATTCAGGCATTTTTTTCCTTCTAATTCTTATTATTATGTAATCTTCAAACTCTTTAAAGGTAATTCTGATGGATTTGAGAAAAATAAGTTGTATTATTTAAGTAAACAGCAGGCTAGCATGAGCTAACATGTTTTACTTTTTTATGAGTAGTATTGATCACATATTTGCATACAAATTGATTTCTGTTGTGGGTATAAAAACAAACAAAAAAACCCCCCTATTTATTCTGTTATGTTTGATCACATTTTCAAAGAGCCACTGCAGAGGGACCAAAGAGCCACATGTGGCCCCCGAGCCGCAGGTTGCAGACCCCTGCTTTAGGGCCTAAATTACAGTTTTTGTGACTGATCTACTCTTACTAACTAAAAATTATTTTAGCTACTCTTGATTTGTTTGGTATTAATATCCAAATGTAAAAATGTAAAACATTAAAACCTTTGGTAATCAGTTTTTATTGTTTTGTTACTTAGCTGCACAATGAAGAACGGTGAACAAATAAATAAATAAATAAATAAATAAATAAATAAATAAATAAATAAATAAATAAATAATAAAAATCTCTTTTAGTGTCTTTACTGAACAAATGTATTATATTTAGAAAACATAACTACAATGAGTTCTAAGTATGCAGCTTTTATGGTAATCTATGTTGTTGCCTTGCTATCTAGATTTAATAAAATCTTTGTGTTTTATTATAGGTAATATCTCCACAGAAAATATTCCAGAGTAAATAGGTCACAAAATGCTTTTAAGTAATTCTAAAAATAAACTATATTTATGGTTTGTGATTTGTTTTTATAATCAAACCCTATTTACTTCTTTACAACTTTCTGTGACCTGTGTGGAGGGCTCCTTGGTCAAATGCACACATCACTTTTCAGGTTTAGATTTTTATCAGGATTTAAAACAACACATTTTCCACTTTTAACTATGCTAGTTTGAAGTATTAGGTGGTATATTTTTTTACTTATAAGCAAATATAAAATGCAATGAAATTCCTGCCTGTAAATTAACAACAGAGAAAGAATACTTTTGCACCTTCGGCTTGATGTCTAAAATACATTTTTAAAATGTTAAAGTGTTGAAGTAAGACAAAGAAGTACCATCACTGTGTAAGAGTGGTCTTTAAGTTGGCTGAGAAGGAGGTCTCTGCAGTCACTAAGTAGGAGTTTCTTACTTTGTGGGAGGAGTTGACTCAAGATGTGATTGGTCAGATTGATGGTGGAGTTTGAAGAAGCTAGGGGGCAGCAGGGAGTAGCTTGGTTGAATCGGGCAGAAAGCACCTGTATTTTTAAAATATAATAAATTTTATTCATAACTTGAGACAGGACGGTTCTAGCTGCACGAAATTTGAATGCCATACGTACCATTACTTCCTCTTTTAGGTTGCCCCACAAAAGTCAATCCGACCAATCACGGTTAGGGAAGACTCCACCCACACACCAACTCCGCCAAAAGGGCCAACTCCGCCCACAGGACAACATGTACTGCAGAAACCCCTACTTGGATTGATTGGTGACAAGTGTGGGCGTCAAGGCGGGGTGTTAACGGAGCGTCCATCAATGTATCATGATGTATAATCAAAGAAAATTTAATTCATTTGTACCCCCACATTTACCATGAAATATTAGTTCACCCACTGCAAAAAGGTATGAATCAGGGCCCCAACAATAACCAACAAAAAGAGGGGRAAAAAAAAAAAACAAGGGGACTTTAAGCCCCGCCTGCAGTCACTACATACACATGACACGACACCTAAGAACCACAGCATCCAAACCAATAAGTCAGGTGATGGGACACATGACCCTCTATGAACAATAGAGCTAATCAAGCCTATTGTTAGGTGATGGTCCTCTGTTGCATGTGACTAACCTGTTTGTCCACCATGTGGAGGCAGTGCTTATAAGGCTGAGTTCACCTGAAACTCATCAGACTGAAGAAGTCTCTTGGAAGAGAGACGAAACATTTCACTAAAGAAGAACCCATCCAGAGGACCTACTTATTGTTTTTTTTTCTACCTGGATTACTGAGATTCATCAGGACATTCACCCAGTGCTGTTTCTATCATTTACCAAATAAATTCATTCCACTTGATTTATAGAATACTAACATCAAGTGTTTTCCTATGTAGATGAATGTCTAACAACCTGTTAAAAAACACCAGAATGCAGGAAATGGCATTTGCTTCTTTCAAAGTTTTCAGGGGAAGGATTCCCAGACCCCCCATCACTGGGTCTCCCCAACATTACAAATACTTCTGATGCCAGTAAAATATGTAACAATGTAAGGATAACTGATGGTACTCCATGTGTAAAGATACAGAACACATTAAAAATGTACTGTTGCAGAAGTGCAGATAGTTTGGGTTCTTGTTTTTTGTCTCTGAACGTCACAAAATCAGTGATATTATCTGTAAAATTACAAACTGAACATCTGTTAGCAAATCCATAACTTTATATTGTCATAGTTTTTAAATTGTCATTTTTACAAACACATCATAAAATTTCTGTTATACGCATTAGTTATGTTATAAGTACAGATATTAGATATTTTGGTGTGCCACCCCAGGTTTTTCAGTGGCCTCCCCTGAAAAAAATTTCTGCAGGCGCCACTGATGTTAAATAAAAACTAAAACAACATTTTGAAAGCTTTCTAAGTTTTCTTAAAAAGAGCTATAAATATCTGCTGTTTTAGTCCTGTAACAGCTTCTTTGTCTTGCAGGTGGGCTAAAGGTGGTGTGGTGCTGCAGGGCGCCAGGGAGAGTGTGTTCACCACCAAGGCTGACCACTCCTTCTTCACCGAGCCCGTCTCCTGTCTGGTTTTTAACGCTGTTGGAAAGACCAACGTCAGCATCTTGGTGGATGTTCACTGTGAGTCAGGCCTCATTCTTATTTCTTTCTTAGCTGCACTCCTCAAAACTAACCGTGAAGATCTCTGTCTCAATCTCTGCCTCCAGTTGGTCCCATCCTGCTGGTGGAGCCGCAGCCAAAAACAGTCGATGTCGACTCTGATGTCACCCTCAACTGTAAATGGGCTGGAAACCCCCCGCTCACCCTCACCTGGTTCAAAAAGGGTTCCAACATGGTAAGAAGCTGAGAGCCCTCCTTTTCTCTTTAATAACTAAAGCCTAATGTTATAAGCACGAAATTTCTCCACATCTTCACTCGAGGTGTTTTTTTCTCTAGAATTTGAAAAAATTTAGGAAAATAGGAAAATTCTGTTACATTGGTACACTATAGTATCAATGTAAAAGTTACAGACAATGTTTTTAACTACAACCTCAAAAGAGTTGAAACTTCTTGTTAAAATGCAAATAAAATACATTTTATTCACAATAAAACACAGTAAACATATCAAATGTGAACTAAGAAAATGTACCATTTTTTTTGGAAAAACAAGGTAACTTTGAATTTGATGGCAACAACAACACATCTGAACAATTTTATTAAAAAGAAAAAAAATGCTTTTACCTTTCCAGATGTGCTTGCCAAAGACATAGTTACTAATGCACCCCAATACAATCAGAGAGGCGGGATTTTGAACTGTGTTATTATAACAGACGGTTATATATAACCCTTTGGAGTAAATTGACAAGCCCAGTCTCTATGTAAAGCTGTCAATCTGAGTTTTTAACTTCAACAGTCATATTTTGTAACTAACTAGTATTTAGTTATTGACTTTAAAATACACTATAACCATTGCATATTAAATAAAAGTTAACTGGACTGGCTACACAGCTGTGGTGTCAGAATAAAGCTCAGAGCTGATTGGCTGATTCTGGTCAATCAATCATGTGTACCATGTACAGGTGGAACATGAGGGATTTACTACACATTTTGGTCTTTGGAGAGTCTATAGATGAACCCAGTTGGTCAAAAGACATGTCAATCGAAAGAAGTAAACCAATTGAATTGTTTGAACAGCCTATTATGAAAAATAAAAGTCCCAGGTAGTGTGGGTCTGGCTATAAAGAGGCAGGAAGTAACCACAAACTGGGAATGTACTGCGGACGGTACATTAAGGGTTAAATAAGCTCTGACCCAGAAAAGACGCAGTGTTTCTGGATACGTATTTGTCTTTGCATGATCGAACCTTAAGCAGCAAACTGTGTTTACAGACGATTTGTGGAAGTGTTCCTGAGCCCATGCAGTGAAATCCATAAACAGAATCTGCCCTGTTTTTATTGCCTTGGGCCAGAACAGCCTGAAGATTACAGACATCTAATACTGACTTTCAGCCTTATCCTTTGTTTGCATATTTAAAAGTTGCCCAATTTTCTTTTCATGAACATAATTTTGAAATTGTATCCCTATACTTAGACACATTTTCTCGCATTCTGGTGAAGCTCCGCCTATCTTTACATCTGAGAGATTCAGCCTCTGTAAAACACTCTTTATACCCACTCCTCTGACTGACCTGTTGCTAATCAACCCATTTAGTTGCTAAAAGCTCCTCCTGCTTCATTTGGAGGAGTATCTTACTTTTACAGCCTTTTGTTGCCTCTTTTTTAAAGGGGCAATATTCTGTGTTTCTCAAGCATATATTTAAATACTACACCATAATAAGGTATCTATGTCACCTTTAGTTGTTATTAAAATGCTGTTTTTATGTTTAAATAGAAAAATAAACATCTTCTCATCATTTCCTCTTCTAAACGCCTTGAAATTGGCCTCTGTCTCTTTAAGAACCTCCTTCGCTTCTGCCTGGCCCATTTTGGTGCTGGGGGGGGGGGGGGTGGCTGCCATGATGCAGTTTACTTGGCATCTGAAAATACATTTCCTCAAAGGTATTTTTAATCTGAAAAGAGGTTCACTGAGTGAGAACTAATGTTGAGAGCTCAGCAGACAGTTAGGTTTCACTTTCACTTTGACCTGAGAGCCTGCAGGAGTCATGGGCGGGGTGTGTGGGGAGGGGGTCCGCTCTGCCACGAGGAAGTTCGGCTTAAAGACACGTCCCAGGGGAGTTTCTGGTACCAAAAGGCGTTTCTGGTCCCCGCCTGTCATTTTGCTCCTCAGCATGGCTGCCTAAAAATGCAGCAGGATTTCTCAAACATGCATGAATGAGTCAGAGCAAGGCTTTGGGCATGTTTTTTATGAGAGTGTAACATTATAACATGATATAAAACTAAAAAAAGTTGATTTTACATTATATTGCACCTTTAACTACTCAATGTAATTTAGGATTACATTATAAAAAAGTGCCTTAATTTTTATATGTAAATATATTATATGTTTAAACTATATTTAATTGTGAGTAAAATGTTTTTATAACATCTGAAAATCAATCATTGTTTTAATTTACTTTTTTTACATCCAAGTTTTTTCAGAATTGGGGTTTTGTAATGAAAGTAGTGAAAAGGTTCAGAAGGATTTTAATAAATGTCAGCAGATGATTTTCCCAAAGGTTAAATTTACAGATGGCAAATATGGCTCAAACATCTGCATAAACATAAGAAAATTTGGAAAAGGTATACATTTTCAAAATGGGGACCGTGTAGGAACCTTGAAGGAAGCAAATTAAATCTGCTTCACTTCAAAGCCACCCACGTCTGTATAATCAGGTTTTTCTCTCTAGGTGGCTACATATTTAACCATCATTTCCTCATAGTTCGTCTTCCTGATGGATGTGGTTGCTAGGCAACTCTAAAGCCTTTGTGATGGGTTAAAAGCTGATTTGGATGTTTGAATCAGTACTCAGACAGGGTCGAAGCCGTAGGAGACACGCAGGTGGACTTGGCTTTAATTTCTTCTGTTTGGCTTCAGCACCTCTTTATATTATTTTTTTGTCTCCACTTCACCGCAGGTTCTGAGTAACGGCAATCAGCTCCATCTGAAGTCGGTGACCCAGGCTGACGCCGGGCAGTACGTGTGTAAGGCCATCGTCCCGCGAATTGGAGTCGGAGAGACGGAGGTCACGCTCACGGTCAACGGTCAGGAGATGTCCCCACATGTTCATCTTATGGTCCTCGTACTGAAAAATGTTTCACTTTAATGTCATTCATCAAACTGATGAAATAGTCCAGTGTGAAGTGGTAGACAAGTTATTTAACCCCAACTGGTGCAATGAGTTGCTTCTCTTCTTAAACAACCCTGTGGAAAGACACATCCCGCGGTCATGGAAAAGATGTCAGTCTGTTTGAGAAGGATCAAATCATTGGCTAACTGGAAAAAAAGGCTTACATTAGCTAGGGAGCATAAAGGTTGGACTCTGGAGCAATGGAAGAAGGCCATGCGGTCTGATGAGTCCAAGTTTACCCTGTTCCAGAGTGATTGGTGCATCAGGGTAAGAAGAGAGGCAGGTGAAGTCCCATCATGCCCAGTGTCTACTCTACAATCCTGTGGTGGCAGTCCTATGATGTGGGGTTGCTGCAGTTGGTCAGGTCTAGGTTCAGCAGCAGTATGAGCTCAAAGAATGAGGTCAGCTGACTACCTGAATATACTGAATGACCAAGTTATTCCATCAATGATTGTTTCTTCCCTGATGACATGGACATATTCCAAGATGACAATGCCAGGATTCATGGGGCTCTTATTGTGAAAGAGTGGTTTAGGGAACATGAGACATCATTTCCTAACACATTCTCACTCCCGACTCRTCAACGTGTTGATGCTTTTCCAAGGTTCCCTCTGCATCTTATTTTGATGCGTCCGGTAACCCCCGTCATGTCAGTCCTTGCCACCCGCCGCTTTTCCAGGTTGCGCCACCGGGGGTCTTTGGGTCGGGGGTCGGAGGTTAATATGAGGGATCAGGATTAATGGTTAATTTTAGGTACTGGGGTCAGGGATAGGATGTCTACGGCGAATATTAGGTAATTTTAGGCTTTGGAACACGTGGTTGACGTGAATTTCCTACATTTTCCAAAAATGGTTATTTTAGGTACTAGGGTCAGGAACAGGATGTCTGAAGTGAATAAAGGTAATTTTAGGCTTTGGGGCGGTAGTTTTTGGGAATTTGCTACACTTTCTGAAATTATGACAACAGATTCCGCCCCGTCTAGTCAAAAACTGATGCAAGGGGTGTACCGAACGCATCAAAATCAGACGCAGAGGGAACCTTGGAAAAGCGTCCATATGTGACGACTTGGGAGTGAGAATGGGTTGCATTTTCACGTCATAAACCCTGGATGAATTTTAACGGACCCTACAGAAAATAACTGTTAGATGTTCATCTATGACTGATTTACATTTGAGGCCAATCCAATTCAAGATGGCTGCTGCAGCAAACTGACCTTAAAAACATGAAAAAGGTTATAACTGAGTCAGTTTTACAGATACTGAGCTAAAACTTGGTGTTGTAGAAGTTAGACATTCACAACACACTCCAAGCACTACTTATTGCTCAAAAATCCTAAAACTTCAGCATAAACTATTCAAGTCAGTCCAATTTTTCTGTTAGTAATATATCTGAATTGTAATAAATCTTAACGTAATAAGTGGTAGTATATCTACGAGTCATGAAAATTTGTACTCAATCAAATTCAAGATGGCTCTTCCAGCTAATCATCATTAGCCAACACAAAATGACCAGAACACTAGTTTAACAAATATTCAGCTAAAATTTTATGATAGTTACTGATTCAGTCACAACACAAGGGAGTGAGATTTGTACATCTTTTTTCACAGTTTGACCAAAATGGTGCTAACTTGGTCGTTTCTTAACGTAACCTGCCCGCAGGCTAAAACTCTGGTATGAAAGGTGGCGGGCGATATGTATTCCTTTCATAAATACCTGTCAGCCTTTAATATTAACCAGGATTCATTTTTGGGTACYACTTTACAATAAGGCTCCCCTTATAGATGGCTTATAAATAGTTAYWAATTCATCTGTAAACACTTTATAAATCATTAAGAAGTGTTTAATATGCCTTAATTAAGGATAAGAAAGAGACAAAACTGTCTGGTTTCTTGCCAAATAGTGAGCCAAATCTGTTCATGTTCTTATTACATCTAAAGGTGCTACATACTGTATATTAAACATTTCAGGCTAGGTTTCTGCACTGTAAGGAAAATAATGTATTGGAATAATAACGCAGTAATACAGTACAATATTATATGTAAAATATGTGTTTACAATACATTATTGTGTTTACAAGGTAGAAACCTAGTCTGAAATGTTTAATGTAGCAGCTTTAGCTGTAATATTAACAGACTTGGCTCACTATTTGGCAATAAACCAGACAGTTTTGTCTATTTCTCCTTAATTATTGCATAATAAACACTTCTTAATAATTTATAAAGTGTTTACAGATAAATTAATAACCTATCTATAAAATATTTATAAGCCCTCTATTAGGGGAGSCTTATTGTAAATTGGTACCCATTTTTGTAACACAAGCAACTCCTCAGCTTTTACTGTCTTTATCACTAACATTTTGTCTGATCTGTGCTCTCACAGGCCCACCCATCATTTCCAGTGATCCCGTCCAGTACGCTGTGAGGGGGGAGAGGGGGGAGGTGAAATGCTACATAGCCAGCACACCTCCTCCAGATAAGATCGTAAGTGCATGGAGAATGTGAAAAATGTTCTGGCAAGCTTCAATGAAAAAACTCCAAATGATGGCGAAGCATGAATAATTCAGACAGAATAATTCAGGACAAGAAAAAGCTTTGGTCACAAAGAGCTCCTGGTTGTAGCTTTTAGGCTAACAGCAGTTTGCATTTTGYTCACTCTGTCCCTGTAAATGGCTCCACTCCGGCATGCTGAATAATGTCCCCCTTTTTTTCCTCCTGAGTGGTGACTCACCCTGGAACTCTCTCYGAGTCTTTCACCGTCTCGTCACATAAACAAACCAGCGCCAGCCCCTGATCCACTTGGATTTTAGCTCTGCATCAGTGCTTAGCCAGGACAGAGCGCAGCGGTGGCACTTCCTCTGTGAACTGATCCGTCCTGACTCCCGCCTTCCTTAATGCAAGCGGCGACGGCTGGAACAGGAAGAGATTTATAAAATATAAAAGGACCAGAGAGGAGTCGTCGTTTCAGTAAACGCCACAGCCAGGAGAATCTGCCTCTCTCCAATAAGTGGGCCGATTATAGGAACATGTGGCCTGATGCATAATTAACTCAGCTGAGTACAGTACTCTGAATATTACAGCTGCTTTTAGTGGCTCCAAAAGGTGGAAGATGAGCAATGTTGTCGCCAGCTCAGTCRCCTACCATGCTGCTCCACCTCAGTCCAGACAAACATACAAACTGTTGCTGCTCTCAGGAACTTTTGAATTTT